AGTTAATGTGTTGTGTGGGATGGCAAACAAAATAAAATTATTTCGTTTTGGTCTCAAATTCCAATAGATCCAGGTTGGTCGTATGGGATGTGTGGCCATCTAGTATTAATATGGTTTTACCTGGAGGCTTTCTCGGCAAAAAGTGTGTTTGTAACCATTCTAAGAAAATGTCACTGTTAACGTATGCTGATTTTTCCGACATCCTAATCTTGGAACCCGGTGGCATACCATAATGTCACTCGTCTTTTTTATTTTTCCCCTAAAAATGCAATATGGGGGGCAAGAAAAAATCTCTTCTGCACTACAGCAAGCTATTACACTGATCTTTCATCTTTTTCCCCAGGGCTTACGCTAGGAACACATTTTGAACCTTCTTCTGCTAGAACTTGATCGGCTCTAGTATTCAGTTGTAATCCTGTTTCGTCAGTATTAAATATGTGTGCGGGTTTATCATAAAAATTATATTCGGTTATAATTCTCTCGAGATCAGATAAGTAGTTATCCACTGTTCCTTTGGACATTCCTAAAGCTCGTGCAATTGAGGTGTACTCAGCTTTTGTAATTGAAATTTTAGGTCTTCGTTTCAAAAAGAGTTCTAACCATTTTTTACCAGCTTTTCCTAAAAATAAACAATAAGAAAATATTGTATCAGATTTATGAATTTAAAAATTTACCTACTTCTACATTAAATTTATTTGGGATTCCTAATCGCTGAGCTAAATTAAAGGCCATGATTCTTACTTCAGTTCTGGTTAGTGCAAAGCCTGCTTTTTGAGGTTTTTTTTTATATCGCTAACGATTTTAGCTTTTTAAAGAACAATCTGGACCCAATCGGTTCATCTTATCCATAATGTTTGTTTTTATTCAACGTTTAAAAGTCGTTTTGGGTATTTAAAATGCTTTGGCGGCTTCATTATTACAGCTTCTACGGCATCACTTAGCTCCCTAGAGGTCCAGTTACCTCTCTTAGGTGTATTTTGTTTGCGAATATATTTATTGGCCATATTCCTAAAACAAAACATACTGGTCCAACTCTCCTCCTCGTAAGTGGTCTATCTATCCTCAAATAGGAGGACAGATGGAGCAGCCCATATTTTTTAAAATAAGCAGACTACAGCAGTAGTTCTTACCCCATAATATATATTTTAAATATGGTTCAATAATAAACTAACAAATAATTGGTCAAACTCACCTGTTTTTACAAAAAATGAAATCTAAAAAACTCAAATAAAATTATCACACGTGGCAGTTTCAATTATCGTAAATAAGACTCCTACAATCACGCACCGATGTGTTACAACTGGCGTCTCTTAAGAAACTAAAGTTAAACGATACAGATACAACAGAGTAGGATAGAGTTGCCCTGTTGCCAAGCTTGGTCAGGTATACCTATCGGACGGACTATTCTTCTGGTCCATCTCTACTCCCATTACCCTATGGTTTCCCACATTGTGTAACCTTTGTGTCTTAAAAACTAAATTAAAAATTAAACAGACCAAGTAAATTCTGTGAAGCAGCTTTCTCTTCACCTTTCGATGAGTCTGAAATATTTTCGATATTTTTTCTTGGTTCGACCGTCTTATCCTGCAAAGGAGCCGTCCCTGCTAAAATACTTGTCATCGTTGATTGACAGATGAGCCACTGGAATATTGTCATCTGCATTGGTATCATCGTGGACTATACTTAGTAGATTTATATAGCAATTACAACACAGTTAGAACAAAATTACAAACACTAGTAATATAGGTATATGACAAACTTTAAATAATTACAAACAAACATCAAGTGTATTAACATAATCAATTGACTCTGAAGTTGCAAACAGGAAGTCTTCAGGGCTACCGTTGTAGGATCTTGAGGGACACTCTTCAATAATGTGGTCGATCGTTTGGTTCTTCCCACAGTCACATTGAGAAGACGGATTCTTTCCCCATTTATGTAGCATGTATGCACATCTGCCATGTCTGGTTCGGATCCTGTTTAGAGTGGACCATGTTTTACGTGGAAGATCAAAACCTGGTGGCTTGTGGGTAATACAGGGCATGTTATTTTGCCATGCATTCCATTCTTGGGACCATGCATTCGTGATGTTGAACTCCTCATGTATCATTCTTGCCGTTTTCATTGGTGGTTTTCTAGAACGTAGACGGGTATTTCGTGCATCCTCGGTATCTTGGTGGATCGGCAGGTTTATATTGTTCATGATCTTTTTGTATTCACGTGTAAGTGCGTCAACTCGTCGTAAATGTGGAGGTGGAATGTGACTTAATACTGGAAGCCATTGGGTGAGAGTTGATTTAATTGTACCAGCTATAATGCTCATAGTGCTGTGCAGCTGAATGTCGACCTTTTTTACGTGTGGACTGTGTAGCCAAACTGGGGCACAAGTGGTGAGTGGAAGCCGATACTCCCCAGGTGGTACCGCAGAGCTTCTGTATAATGTTATTTCTTGTACTCAACTTTTGGGCAGTTTTTGTTAAATGCTCTTTAAATGATAGCGTTCTGTCTAGTGTTACGCCCAGGTACTTCGGTGTTTTGTTGTGGGAAAGTGTGGTATTTTCAAACCGTATGTTGAGTTCCTTTCCAGCAAGTTTATTGTTCAGGTGAAAGCAACTTACTTCTGTTTTGGATGCATTTGGTTGAAGCCGCCACTTGCGAAAATATTTGCTCAATATATATAAGTCTTGAAACCCGGAAAGCGACAAAAACCCTTACAGACAAACTGCAGGTCTTTGTTAATAAATGTCTACGAAGAATTGTTCGTATTTTCTGGCCTAACATCATCAGAAACGAAGATATACTACACCTGACCAAACAAAAGAGGGTAGTAAATGAAATATAGTCCAGAAAATGGGGTTGGATCGGTCACACACTCCGAAAAAATAACTCCAGTATTGCAAAAACTGCCATAGAGTGGAATCCCCAAGGAAAACGAAAAAAGGTCGCCCAGTACAAACTTGGAGAAGATCCATCATGGACGAGATAAGAAAACAAGGAAAGTCTTGGAATGAGGTGAAGGTCTTAGCGCAAAATAGAACCCGATGGCGCGTTTTCACTGAAGCTCTATGCTCCACTTAAGAGTTCAAGAACCTTATATATATATATATATATAATATATATATATATATATATATATAAGTTTGCCGTCAGAACTTCTTCAGATGTTTCTAGTGTTCTGCATCGTGTAGTGAGGGCCCAGTCATCAGCGTATCCGAACTTTCTTGATTGTGTTTCTGGCATATCTGCTAAATATAAGCTAAATAGTAATGGAGAGAGCACTGACCCCTGTGGTAGGCCATTCTGAAGTTTCTTTGGTGGGCTGATATCTGTGCCCATCACTACTGGAAACATTCGGTCGTTGAGCATGCTATCTATTAAACGTGCTATTTGTTTACAGGGGATTGCATGGAGAATTTTGTATATAAGGCCCTCTCTCCATACTGTATCGTAAGCTGCCGAGAGATCAATAAATGCCGCTGAAGTTTTAAATCTTCTTTGGAAACCCGCTTCGATGTAGGTGGTGAGTGACATTACCTGGTCCGCGCAGCTTCGTTCTTAGATAATTACTTAGTAGATAAGCAACGTGATTCGAATTTGCTAAATTATAATGACGTTTATGTTCCATCTACAAAGAACTAAAAGAATAACAGACTTGCATGGGTTCTTTTAATATCGTCGCTCGACAGCATCTTTTACTTTTGTTCTATTACGAATGTCTTCATTGGTTTTAGGGTCTTTAAGTGAGATACCCAGCATCTATTGTTCCATATCTCTTTGAGTTTTTCTGATCTTCTCCATGTTTACTTTAGTGAATGTCCGGGTTTGAGCTCCATATGTAAGTACATTTCAGCTTGTTCGCAAATATTATGTATTAATATTCTGTACCTGGAGTCGATCCGGTTGCCGACTAATGCTTCTTTTATTGCCAACAGTTCTACGCTATCAAAAGCTTTTTCATAATCTATAAAAGCCAGACATAATGGGAAATTGTGTTCGTTAGTCTTTTCTATAAGGATTTTTAAAGTATATAGATGGCCACAGGTGATGTACCCTTTTCTAAACCCGGCTTGTTCTACTGGTTGATATCCGTCAAATTTAATTGTTAACCTGTTTGTTATATTCTTTGTAAAGGTTTTGTAAAGTTGTGAAAGAAGTGAAATTGGTAGATAATTTTTCAGGTCTGTGGTGTCTCCCTTTTTGTGTATTAGTATTTTTTCAAGTTCTGTTTTGAGGAGTTAGGGAGATCGTTTCTGGAACGATGCAGATCGGCATTGAACTTTTCAATTGAGTTTGCTATATCAAATTTACTTTTTTTTGGTGTCCTTGTTCATTTTTTTATATAAACCTTTTAATTTTAAGTGGTACCACCAAGACTTAAGCTTGGGAGTACCACTTAAAATTACGAATTTATTTACACCATTAAAAAACGGAAAATCTAACCACTAGCAGATATTTTCAACAATTTAACAAAAAACTCTTGCAAAAAATAGAAATTAGTAGGGATCTTATAATTTTAAAATAAAACATTTTTATACTTACTTTTACTTCAAGTTATTACTATTTAATTAATAAAAACAGTGGAAAAAAGCGCGTGAAAACTCACGATTGCAATACACGATCAGTAGTATCGATTTGTACTATTTCATGATGTCGATTTGATTTTTTCATCAAAACATGGCGTTGCCGTCTTCACGTAGAGTCAGTGCTATTGGTACTCCGAAAAGTATTTTGCTTATTTTAATAATCTACGAGTATTGACTTCATCAAAACATCAAAGGCACAAATATGTAGTACCATTAACCTCTAAATGGTTAACTAAAGTATCTTAAAAATTCCATTACATCAATTTTTTTTATTTGAAATTTATTTAAACTTAACGTATAAGGTTCCCTATGTGAACCCTATATTATAGTCGCATGCCTAACAACATTTTTTTTCTTGCAGAGTATTTTGGTTATTGTCTTTTTCCGTTGCAATTGCCTTTGCAGCTTACTATATCACAAATATCTACGAAAAATGGAATTCCTCTCCCGTTATTATTAGTTTTAGCCCATTTGATGCTCAACTGAAGAGCATACCGTTTCCTTCAGTCACTATTTGTAATATGAACCAAGCGAAGAAGACAGAAGTCAACAAGATAAAAGCAGATGGGTAAGAAACAGTAATTTAGAAATATTTTTGTTCAATGAGAATTATTATTTTATTTTTTATTTTCTTGGCAATTATGCTAAATATCTGATTTCGCTGTGTTGTTCAGTACAGTACATTCAACCAACTTACACTTCTAAATGATTAATGGAATTCGCAGAAAACCTTTCGTTGTAGTAAAAGGCACGGTAAACTGCACTGGAGTTCTCCATAATCTTTTTAATTACTTACTTTTTTAGAATATTTTTGCCTAAATATAGACACCTGCAGAGAAAAAAATAAATAAAAAAGGAGATCGACGAGGTGCGACGAAATGAAGGATGTAATATCTAAACACGACTTATTTATTGTGCATAAAAAACTGAAAGAAATGAGTAATATATTTAAAAAACGAGTTCCCTCTATACTTGTTGACACTAATAACAAAATTATTGTAAATGAGCACGAAATAAGAAAAGAATGGCAACTAATATATATATATAATATATATATATATATATATATATATATATATATATATATATATATATATATATATATATATCAGAGTTGTTTGAAGATGACAGGAATAATATTGCCGAATTCTACCAAAACTATACTGGCGGCCCAGAAATTATGAAATGCGAGGTAGAACACGCTATAAATAATACTAAAATTAGAAAAGCTTGTGGTCCAGATGATACACCAACTGAGTTGCTGAAAATAATAGAAGATGATAATATACAAGTAGTAGCAAGACTTTTTAATTCAATATATAATACTGGAGTGATTCCCACAGATTGGCTGAAATCCATCTTCGTCGCAATACCTAAAAAACACAATGCGAGAAAATGCTTAGAATATCGATTAATTAGCCTAATAAACCACACTCTTAAAATTTTCCTAAGAATACTTCACAACAGAACTAAACGCAAATGAGAAGATCTCGAAGATACCAAATTTGGTTTGGCACATTTTGCGCTTAAAATCCTATTAAAAAAATACCGTGACCAAAGGAAATATGTATTTGCATGTTTTGTAGACTTCGAAAAGGCATTGGATAAAGTACAGCATGTAAAATTAATGCAAATACTGAAAAATATCGGAATAGATGACAAAGATACTCGTGTCATTAAAAATTTGTACTGGAATTAAACTGTTATCGTAAATATTGGAGATAATTACACCGATGAAATCTCCATACAACGAGGAGTCAGACAAGGTTGCATTTTGTCACCAACATTGTTCAATGTTTACTCGGACCAGTTATTTAAAAAGGCACTTGAGAGACAACCATATGGAATAAAAATCAACGTAATCAACTACTTAATGTAATTAGATATGCAGACGATACAGTAATTCTGTCAGATAATATTGAAGGTTTCCAAATTCTGCTTCATCGTATTCACCAGGTAGGAGAGGAAATGGGCATAAAAATAAGCTCAAACAAAACTAAATTTTTAGTAAAATCCGTAAAATAGTTTCGAAACACAATTCAGATTTCTGCTTATAATCTGAACCTTCTAAAAATTGCAAAGCAAGCAGACGTTGATAAAATATGTTAAAAGGGACATGAGGAATCTAAAATTTACATTCTACGACATGTCTTTTACAAATAAGCAGAAGTCCTTAGCGAATTGTGTTTCTTGTACTCACACAGAGTATATCCGAAATAAAATGAAAAAGACAGCAAATATTTGATTTCACGCAAACAACTCCTATGTATCTGTTGATACGTATTTTGACCTATTAGGTCTCATCAGAACAGTTATTCATAGGTGTTCTCAACGTGAAAAATCAATATTTTCTGTCTTTTAAGAAGCGACAATAAAATGGCTTCAATACGGACGTGATAGCGACATCTAATTATAAAATCCGTAAAATAGTTTCGAAACACAATTCAGATTTCTGCTTATAATCTGAGCCTTCTAAAAATTGCAAGGCAAACAGACGTTGATAAAAGATGTTAAAAGGGACCTGGGGAATCTAAAATTTGCATTCCACGACATGCCTTTTACAACTAAGCAGAAATCCTTAGCGAATTGTATTTCTTGTACTCACTCAGAGTAATTCTGCATTCCACTGTTTGCCTTGCAATTTTTAGAAGGCTCAGATTATAAGCGGAAATCTGAATTGTGTTTCGAAACTATTTTACGGATTTTATAATTAGATGTCGCTATCGCGTCCGTATTGAAGCCATTTTATTGTTGCTTCTTAAAAGACAGAAAATATTGATTTTTTACGTTGAGAACACCTATGAATAACTGTTCTGATGAGACCTATTAGGTGGACTTAGATATCAAATGCGTGACAATTATGCCATATGGCAGAAGATCGAGAAGACTTCGCAATGGTGATCGCCAACGCCGGATAATTCTGATATGGCACGCAAAGAAGAAGCTACTGTGCCTACTCATTGAAGATGATGACTGCCTCTCACTTCTATTCAAATAATTAAGTGTTATCTTTGTTCCACATACTAAATAACGTGTACGATAGTTGAAAAATTACTATATCGGTATATAACTATAAAAGAGACAATAATACTATTGCACACACAAAAAATATATATTTTTTCATAAATATGGTTGAAATAAAAAGATTGTATTGATAATCTCTAATAATTTAATTTTATTTCATATATACTTGAGACATATCAATAATACATAATCTCATCCGAGACGAACATATGTATGCCTGCCAATAATAATAAATACAGAAATATATTCCTATTGTATATGGACCTTTTACAAAGTGAAGAAAATTTGTTATTTACATATTTAGAATTTGTAACTCTCTCTCTCTCTCTCTCTCTCTCTCTCTCTCTTTCTCTCTCTCTCTCTCTCTCTCTCTCTCTCTCTCTCTCTCTCTCAATACCAAATAAAGTGTAGCCAACAAAATACACATAGCCACTTTACAAAAATTATTTTGTTCTCTTTCTTTTCATTTCTATATTTGTTTAGTATTTGTTTCTAACAATATGATGGTATTTATTATTATTTTAATCTTTCGTATTATGTCACTTCTTGATAAATTTAATTATATATTTCAGAAATCCATTAGATATGAAATTATTAGATGACATCTGCAACGGCAATGATTCTAGTCATAACAATTACACTGGACAATATGACTGGACCATGTTACGAAATTTCTTGATAAGAGTAAAGTATTTGATTATCTGATTTATTAATTGTTAATAAAACATTTCTTGTAGGTAGGAAATTCTTGCTCAGATATGTTGAAAGCTTGCAAATGGTCTAGCGATAAGAAAAGTTGTGAGGATTTATTCAACAATGATTTGACAGATGAAGGATTATGTTGTTCATTTAATAGACTACCTCCTACAAAAATATTTAGAAATCCGTAAGTATTCATTAACATTCTAGTATTCGAAATTAAAACGTTTATAGAAATTATCTTCCCTCATTAGTCCAACCTATTAATATAAATCTAATCCAAATTTACGCACCCACATCTGATAAACCGGAAACTGAAGTTTTAGATTTCTATAGACATAAGACGTCTTTCAGACGAAGATACTGTATCCGAGACGCAGATATTGCATAGACTCAAATGGAGGTTTTCACACGGGACGCGCGACGGATACAGTATGCGAGATAACGAATGCGTATGCCAGATAAAGAAGAAACATTACCTTAAATCAGCGATACTCAACCTTTTTTTTTCCTATATATATATATATATATATATATATATATATATATATATATATATATATATTATATATATATATATATATATATATATATATATAGGAAAATATATAAATATATATATAATATATATAAATAAATATATAATATATATAAATAAATATATATATATATATATATATATATCCTATATATATATATATATATATATATATATATATATATATATATATATATAAATAAGGATCACTCAGATGAGTGGTGGGTTCAATCGGTCAACTAGGTGGAGAAATAAAAGACAAAGTTGATACTACTTCATCTATTTTGAAGACGTTTCGCTATCGAATTCTGATAGCATCATCAGTTCATCTAAAAATTTTTTACATTAGAGTACCACACATTCATGAAGAAGATGTTAAATAGTTACCTTAAAAAAGACTACATATATATATATATATATATATATATATATATATATATATATATATATATATATAGTGAAATATTAACAAATTATTTATATCATATTTTTTTCAAAACAGACAAACCCAATATTATTTCCTGTCATAGACCGACATCCATCTGTGCATACACGTACCAACTTTTTAACGACAATACTATTTTTTTCCAAAAACATACAAATAACATCAATGTAATCACTTCCTTTGGTATGACCTTTCATTGGATGAAATTTGAGAAAATCTTCACGAATTCCATAATCTTCAGTATATTACGTTACAAAAAGAGGTACATTGTGAAGTTGATGAAACATCAGTGCTTGAATTAAATGCTAAACTCCAATATTTACAATTCTTCAAGTCGTCGATGATATGATTAAAAATATGTTTCGAAATATCTTCAATTCGCCTGACGCCTTATCTGAGTTTTATTGCTGAACTTCTCAAATAAAATATTTGAAGCATTTATAAAGCATTTCTTTACAATCTCAGCGTCAGTAAATGGCTTCATATGTTTTCCTAATAAATAGCAAATTTCGTAGGACGCTCTCATCACTGATACATCTTGTGACATTGAAACTGCCATTATATTTTGCTGCTGCTGTAACGACCTTTTCAAGACGCATAGTTTTTCTCTTCGCAATGCAGAGCCGACTGGGAAACTATAGCTAAACATCTTGTGTTTTGTATTATAGTGCCTCATAATATTATACTTCTTTAATATAACACTCTCTCGACAAATCAAACAAGTGGCTGAACCGTGTTTGTTAGTTACAACAAAATATTCATCTTCCCAATTGTCTTGAAATAGTCTGTTTTCGTCAGATATTTTACGTTTTGATTTTGAAGACACGCCAGCCATTCTCACTGTTTTAAATTCCCGGTAAATCAATTATAATTAAAATTATTATAAGTAAAAGAATCACACTTCACTTGACAAAATTTGAAAAAGACGATACGTGTGCAAACGGAAGCGCTGACTGAAATTGATATGTTCATATAATAAATTATACGTCCATGCAAAATGCAAAAAATTTAAGAAAATCGCAAATTGGGCGATTTTATACTTTTTAACACAAGTCACTTTTTCATAAATAGTTAGATTAGAATAGATTAGATTAGATTAGAATAGATTTCACATTTTTATCCATTATAAAAAGCCCCTCAATGAGCAAATACCTTGTTAATCCATTATTATTATCATACCTGTACGAAATGACAATACATATTTTAAAAATGTTCTGTCTTTATTTCTTTATAAACAAAGTTATTTTATTAAAATTTAAAAAAATTCCTATAATTTATATCTGAAGGTACCAGTGGCGACATTTTGTGATTGGATTGGCGACACAAGGAAAATAAATCTGGCCACACTGTTCCAAATCAACATGAAATGCAAACATAGCATAACAACGTCGACTTCGGGAAATCCCCGGTTTAACACCACAGGGGCGGATCTTTTTATATTATAAATTAGACTTTATTGATTAGGGAATTTTTAATAATATTTTTATAATGAATTACAAAAATATCTAATACAATCGTATTTTTTAAATTTTAAGATTTTATAAATACATATTTAGATAAAGTCAACTATTCTTAGTTAGCCTTCGGACCGCATAAAAAACGCCCGAGGGCCGCAGGTTGAGTATCACTGCCTTAAATGAACGCTTTCAGACACAAATTCTGTAACTCGCATACAGTATCTCCCTCGTCTGAAAGGGGTCTAAAGGTCACAACGAAAAACGATATCAACATCATAATGGGTGATTTTAATGCCAAAATCGGTCGGGGTAGATGTGGTAATGCTGTCGGTGATTTCGGCCTGGGTAACAAAAATGAGTGAGGAGAGTTACTAATTGAAATTTGTAATGATCGCGATTTCGTCATATTCAATACGTGGTATCAACTCCCACCAAGAAAATTGTATACATGGCGAGCACCAGGAGATCGTCTAGGTCATATGATACCAAATCAAATTGATTACATCGTGATAAACAAAAGATTCCGTAACTATATAAAAAGGGTGGCCGCTTACCCTGGTGCGGACATTGCGTCTAAGCACAACCCCCTAATCGCGAATGTAAGGCTTCGATTGGCAAAGGTTAAAAAGCCATCTAATAAAAAATACATAAACACTAGAGAATTAATGAGAGATGAAGAGCTTAGATCTACATACAGTAAGCACATAAACGAGAACTTAAGAAACATAAAAGGAAATTGCATAGAGGAAATCTGTGAGAAAATAAAAATTGCTATAGTCGAGGCTGACGAGGTAGTCGCAAGTAACATAAACAATCACAAAAACGAGTGGATGACGGAAGAGATACTTCATCTAATGGAGCAGCGCAGACAGTACAAAATACATCAGAATCAACAGTAATACAAGGATAACTAACGTACGATAAGGGCAAGCATTAAAAACGCAAAGAAAAGCTGGATTAAAGAACGTTGTGAAGGATTGGAATCACTACAAGAAAAGGGAGACAGCTTTGAACTTTATAAAAAGGTCAAGGAAATTTCGAGTATATACAAGAAACACCATAAGACTCGCCTGAAAAATAATCAAGGACACTACGTTCATATCTAAGAAGAACTAGCTATAATCTGGGCAAACTATGCTTCGTCCCTCGTTGCGGATAATAGACCGAATCTACCAACTACTTACTTACCCACGGAAAATTTATCCGGCCCTCCCATTATTCGCGCCGCTTTATTCAACCTTTATAATTAGACTTCGGCAAATATGCATATTGCATATTTTGCATATTGTGCATATTTTATGCAAATATTTCATATTTTGGCATATTTGTATAAAAGTTTGCATAAAGTGCATAAAAGTTCAGATTTTTATACTGTATTTGAAAATTTTTAAACATACCAATTTATTTCAATTCTTGTATAAAATTTTGTAGTCATTTTAATCAAGAAATGATCTAAGTACGTAATCTCTACAGGTACAAAACATTTACAACTTCAAAGAAGATCAATTTAAGTAGCCCTCAACATTCTTAGAAAGTCTCGGTCACTGAGGCATTCAGTTATTGGATAATCGCTAAGGATTCGCTCATTTGCATTTTATGATCTAATCCCCAAATCTATCTACAATTTATTGTATCTTAACAGCAGGTAAACGGCTAATAGTTTTGTTTCTAATTTAGGGATTTTCCAAAATCTCCCAGTTTATTGAATTAGGTACATAAACATTTCTAATTTGATGCTCAGATTTGTAAATCATTTTTGTTTTGATATTCAAAGCGTAAACACTCGTTGTGCGTAACAAAAAGGAAGATTGTGATTTTATAATGCCTAAAACAACCAGTGCTTCAACTTGGATTAAACCTTATAAAGAGCTGTCTATGGATATGGGAAAAATTTACTGTTCAGTCTGTGGCAAAATTGTAAGTATCTAATATTTTCTATTAAATATCTAATATTTCATACATACAGGGTGTTTCCAAATGACACTTACAACGTTTGACTGTAGATACTTCTCGAAAAATTGAACAAAACTATATAGTTACTGAGGGGTCAAACTTATTTACTTTTCGAGATACAGGGTGTTAAAATTAAAAAAAATTAAATTCTTTTGGTTAATAACAACAATAACTTTAAAACCAATAAACGTATTTACTTGAAATTTAGTACTCGTAGGTTGTTTTTAAATGAAAAATAGCTTCCTTTAGTGAGAAAAAATTATCCATGGTACAATACAATGGTGTGTATTTAGAAAAATTTTTCACCTTTACTTTTTTTTATGAAGTCAGCTATTCTAAAACACAATTATTTTTATTGTAATTGAATTAACAAAAAAAAAACTTTTGTTGAATTTTAAAATAAGTTATATGATGTACTGATGGTTAGTAACAAAAACTAATTTGTGGATTAATACTGCATTTAAAACACTTAGCGAGTGTTTTTTTTCCAAACCAGTTATTTGATTAACCAAAAACACCTTGTATATTTTTATATTTTAAAGGTTGGGTTAAAATAAATGTTTTTATTTTTATTTATAGATAGCATGTGAGAAGAAATTTTAGATAGAATAACCATGTGAGAACTGCTTCACACATTGCAAAAAAAGGAAAAAATAGGAGGAAAACATCAAACTTCAATGGCTAAATGTTTCCAATCTACTTCAAAAAAATTAGATGAGCAAGAAACTTTTAATGAAGACTTGTGTCGCGCATTAGTGTCTGCAAACATACCGCTTTCAAAATTAGCAAATGTAAATTTTAGTTCGTTTCTAAAAAAATATTGCAAACTTAATGTTCCAAGTGATCGGTCTCTAAGAAGAAATAATGTGAACGGGCTATACTTGTTGGTGTTAATTAATATTAAGGAAGAAATTGCAGATAATTATTTTTACATATCTGTAGACGAAACCACTGATTCCTCAGGAAAGTATATTGCTCATTTATTGATTGGTGTTCTT